TGGAAGGGAGCCCGTGTCTGGCTGTCTTCGGAGAAGGCAGAAGGGACCCGCCAACGCAAAGGTCTTGCCTGCAAATGCTGTGCTCTAGTGGGTAGAGAGGACATGGCTAACTCAAGTCCCAGCAGAACCATCACTGCATAAAGACCTGGCCTGCCAGGGTGATGCAAAGGTGCCTGGGAAGGGGGAGCCTCCAAGGGGCCACACAGGGGTTGTGAAGGAGGGAGAAGGGAGTGGGGGGAAGCTCACCTAGTGGGGAAGCACTGGGGGCTCGTGGAGCTGGCCGCTTCTTCGCCTTTGGGCTGCTGGTGGGAGTGATGCCGTACCAGGGGTGGAGAGGCTTGGCAGCGGTCTCATTCTGCTCCTGCTCAGGCGTGCTCTTTTGGGTGGTAGCACTCTCCTCTTCCTCCTCATCCTCCTCCTCAAAGGGGTTATACGATTTGGGTTCTGTGGCATCAGACTTACTCTCCTCGCTCCCAGCTTTTCCCACCTCCTCCCCATCCTCCTCCTCTGAAGTCCTGCTCAGAGTCTCGTGGCTGCTGCCTGGGGGAGGAGGGGGAGCTGGCTTCTTCTTGGGTTCTGCTTGCACTAAGGCCATCCATGGTGGGTCCTTGGCTCTCACAGCGGCACTGGGAAAAGAGATCAAGGTGGCAGGGAGCAGAGACAAGCTGGGACGGCAAGGCACAGGAGAGGGGCTTAGCCCTAGGGGGAAAGGATGGATAGAGAAGGATGTCTCCCATGCAGAAGCAGCTCCGTCATCCAAGGGTGGCCCTAGCCTTCCCCAGACACAGTGTCTTGTTCTCTGCAGGCAAACCTATGGGAAGCTGAGGGAAGCAAGGAAACTTCCCCACCGGGCCCAGCGTTTTGGTTTCTGAATGTTACAGTCTCCATCTGCTAAGCAGTGGTAAAGGCTGAGCTTTACAGGCACAGCTGTTCTCCCCTCCCCTGTTCCTACACCCAGCTCTGCTCCCCAGGCTGTGGATGGAGGGGGAGTCAAGATAAGGTATCTTGACTTGCCACAGAGGGCAGGTAAGATACCTGCCTACACTTCAGAGGGCTGCTCATCACCTTATCAAATGAGCATCCCAGGGACAGACTCCTCTTCGCTAACTCCCGTGGCTGGAAGCACTGCTGCTCCGCAGGGGGCACAACCCACAGCAGGCCCACACCACGGCTCAGTGAGTCACTGCTCATCAGGAAAGCGGCCGTCACTTGCCGCACACACCCGCTCCTTCGCCG